GATGCCTAAAGTTTCCTGCCTCCCATCTGTTCAGCGGGTATTATCATTTGATACCCAGAAATAAGGTTTAAAAATTTTAACTAGTTGATCTTTCCAGACTTTAAATGTTTGATCTTTAAATTTAGTTTTTATTCCAACAAACTGCTCTTTCATGATCATAACACATTTTGGTAACATTACACAATAGTATAACAAATGTCTCCCTCTACATTTTTCTAAATTATTTCATTGGTTAATATAATGAAGTTTCTTACACTGGGTCTGGATGAATATCCTTGTGTTGTTTTATTAATTTAGCAGCACAGGTATATCATCTTAGATTTTGGCTATGACAGTTGGTTTGGGAACTCAACCTTGGGAGCTAATTTCTGACTTACAAGAAATCTTCGAACTGAAATATATATTGCAGGCTCTCCTAGTCAATATATTGATGTGATGATAGTATGCACCCATAATATTTTGGAGACAAAAGCAACTGAGGTATTTCTATCCCTCACTGAAGTCTTATCTCAGTGATATCAGACAAGAGTAGAATTGTGTTATACATGCCAAAATTTAATTAATTAAGCTGAATTTAATACAGCAAAATGTCTAAAAATTTACTCAACACTAATAAGAGTTGTTGACATCATTTCTAGAATATGAAGCTATCCCCAAACCAAATGAAATGTATCTGCAGTACTGTAAAATGAGAAGTGTATGACGGCCAACAGAACCTGTCTGCCTTGATTGGCATGTGGTACATATTTAGCTTATAAACAATCTCCAGCTTGATTAGAAGTCTTTTCCTGTTTTAATCGCATGCTATTTTAGTTTGTTTGGGCTGCCATTACAAAGTACCATAAACTATCAGTTGAAATAATGGAAATTTGTAACAATTTTGGAGGGTGGTAAGTCCAAGGTCAAGATCTCAGCAACTTAGGTTTTCTTCTGATGTCTCTTCTTCAGTTTGCAGGTGACCACCACCTGGTTATGTCCTTATGTAGCCTCCTGGTGAGCATAAGCAAGCTCTCTCATGGCACTTCTTATAAAGACACCATGTGGGCCCCACACTTGTGACCACATAAGACTCTACCTTCTCAAGTTGCTAGCTTCAAACATCATCACAGGAGTTAAGTCATCAATATATGATTATGAGGAGGACACAAACATGCAGTTCATAACACTGCTCATAACATTCTGATGATTATTTAGTCCAGCCTGGAGTACATAGTGAGACCCTGACTTGGTAAAACAAAAAGAAAAATTAAGCAAAAAAAAAAAAATCCCCAAATCTCAGTGACTTTAAGCACAACAAAGATTTATTTCTTTGACAATCCAATTTTGTTCAGCTGGTTGAGATGGCTCTGTTGCATGCATTCAGAGATGTGGGCCCATTTCATCTCACTGTCATGTTGTTCTATGGCCTCTGGCTTTTTGCTGAATTTTCTGTACCTAATAAACTAAAGAGGGGAAATGTGCAAAAATTATATTAATATCAGCTATGGACATGGAATAAATTATTCTCATCTTCACCTCACTTGTTATAACTCAGTTATTCAGCTCCACAAATTACAGGGGTAGCTTGGAAGTAGAGTCTCAGTGTGTGTTCTGGGGCCAAATATATCAGCGGATGGTGAACAGCTATCTTGTCCTTGCTATATCTCTTTATCTCATCATTTCTGTACAGCTTCTTCATCAACAAAAAAAGCTATGAAAAGGAAGAGTTACAAAAAATACCCCCAAATATGTTTATTAATTATAACAAATATAATTTCTAAAAATTTGATTGTAATCCAGACAGTATAGCCTTTGTGCGCATATAAGTTTCACATGGCTTTGGGCTTTTACACGAACCTATCCACATTCTAGAGACAATTAGATTGTGTCTAATATGAATTGAGAGAATTGAAGTAAGAAAATTTAAAATGAGTTCTTGAATACCTTCAGTGTGAGAAGATTCATTATTATTTGAGGCCTGTAGTTAAGATTCTTTATGGTTTTTTCTTGGCAAAGAAATGCTGAGTTTCCTTGTAGGTCCATATTTCAATAGACAGAAGCGTTTATGAACTTGTTTCCAGAAAGGTCTTGTCAGTGGACTTTGAGAAAAACCCTTAATGCTACTAATTTTGAATAATACATCAAGAGAAAGAAAAATCTTTCAAACAAATTCTTCAGGCTAAAAGTAAGCTGTAACCATTGTTTTTACAATATAACAGAAGGAAGAAATTGCTTCTTCCTTTTTTCAGTTAATTCTACAACTGTACCGTGCAAGACAGTAACCATTAGCCACATGGAGCTATTTAAATTTGAATTAAAATTAAATAAAATTCAAAATTTATTTAGTTACTCTGGCCACTTTTCAAGTGTGCGATACCCTTATTAGCTTGTGGCTACTGTATTATTCAGGCCAGACACAGAACACATCCACCAATAATGTTGTGAACTGTGGGCAATTAATACAAAGTGAGCTAGACATACAAAGAACTTTGATTAGGGTGAATATGTACAACAGGCCAGGGATGCTTGCCTGTTACTTATTACTTCTTCCCCCATTCATGAACAAATTCAATTTTATTCAGCACATTAAAAAAAACTAAGGTTTAAAAAATTGAATGCTTGTATTGATGATTAGAAAAGGCTTGTTAGTTAATTGGAAACTTTTATTCATTGCATTACTCACACAAAGACTGTTAAAACTATGTTACAAGAAAACCATTTTGTTTAGTGTGAATTGATATAATTAATTAAATACATTGCAATGTAATCTATAATACATAGAAACATGTTTGTACGCTCTTGATATGAAAGCCAAACGGGCCTCTCTCTTTCACGTGTGTTCTTTCTCTCCCTTCCTCCTTTCTAGTTTCTCTCCCACATCCTTTTTATTTCTTTTCTTTTCTTTTGGTTCCTGGAACATTCCCCCTTCCTTTTTTTTCTTTCTTTTTTTTTTACAAGCTAACAAGTTTGATGTGGCTCTGTGTCTTATTCCCTTCCAGGCTTGCAGCTGTTTTGGCAACAGAAGAAAAAATCCCCATAACAAATCAAATAAAAGCCCTTTCTGTGAAGAGGAATTGAAAACAGCAGGCCTCAAAGAGGACTGCACATGAGATGCCTTGTTCTGGCTTTCAACACAACTCAAATCAGAAACACATTACCATAATCTGAAACAGCCCACTGCTAACACAAGACAGATGGTGGGTAATAACCCATGCATCATTAATAAATAAATTCCAGCATTAAAGGCTTTACAAAGTATGACAACATTATCTGGGCACAATTACTGCCCCTCTCCCAACCCCAACATCATTTCAGTGTGCTATGAGCTACGCTAAGTTTATTTTTATTTTTTTCCCCTCCAACTCCAAAGATCTGAAGGAAGTTTAAATATGACACAAGTTCTAACCAGATGAAACCTATCTCAGTGTACAAGACAGGTCTGAAACTCCATACAGGGAAAATAAAATAGCTGCCAAAGTGTAATAGCTCACACGCTCACACGCTCTGCTGTTGGATCAGCCCCAGCAATTTATTGCACTGCCCTCCATGGGCTGGCCTCACCCTTTCGGGTACCCATGCGCCTGTATCGAACTGCATACTCCAAGCAAGAATCCTAGCATCAGTTTTACCACAAAGCTGAGAGTATATGTGCAATTTCTCAGCTTTCCTTTTGCAAATGATACCATCTGTGTCTTTCTCCCAAACCCCCCCAAGGAGGTGGGGGGGGGGCTTTGATGACATTGAAAAGAGAGAGAGACAGAGAGAGAGAATTTTAACTCCATAAATGTTGGAAACAAAAGGAAGAAGGAGGAAGGGGAGAAAGGAAAGGAGGAGGAGGAGGAGGAGGAGGAGGAGGAGGAGGAGATGCTGCCAGCTGCCACTCATCACATGCTGAAGGCACAATTTGAACTGCATTGTTTGTTCAGTGGGATGTTTTGTTTGTTCAGTGAAATCATGTTATTTCAACAGGGTGTGAGAAGTATAGGAATGTAACAGATGATTGTGCAGGCCTGTTTGGATGATCCTGGGATTGCCCAGGAACTGCAATGATCCTACAAAACCTAGGCAGCCCCTTTTCATAAAATCATCCTAAACCTAAAATCAAGCATGATACTGACCATAAATTCTGGAGAAACACAGGCTTTCAGATAGTAAATATAAGGTTCAATTCCTCATATATGAATTACAGAATCCACCTCAAAAATAGGCAATATAGGGCCAGGGATTTAGCTCAGTGGTTCCAGCACCTGCCTCACAAGTGGAAGGTCCTGAGTTCAATTCCCCTTACCAAAAAAAAAAAAAAAAAAAAGCGATGTAAGCATTTTGTCAAAATACTAGTATGTTTTTAATGAAAGAGATGTTATTTTACACTAATTTATTTGACAGGTAAAGAGCTAAGGACAGAGATAATAATACACTCCAAATACGATAATCCAAGATTATTAGAAGATCAAGTGAAAATATCTCCACAGCATCATCCAGTAGCCCAGCAGTCAGTTGTGAGGACATGATTTACAGTCCCTGAGCACAAAATGCCTTCTTCTGAACCCAGACCTCTGGAGGGAAGGGAGGGTGGAGGGAAGGGAATAAAGAAGAGAGGAAAGAAAGAGGAGAGGAAGAAAAGAAGAGAGGGAGAAAAGAAGAGAGGGAGGAATGAAGAAGGAAGGAAAGAAGGAAGGAAGGAAAGAAGGAAGGAAAGAAGGAAGACAGGAAGACAGGAAGGAGGAGGGAGGGAAGAGGGGAGAAGGAGAGAAGCTCCAGGATATCTTTCCGTTCAGCACAGAGAGAACTTTCCTTCCAGTCAGACTCACAGAAAGGCTGATCTGCAAGACTTTCCTGATTAGCATCTAAATCCTTGTCCTCCTTTTCCCAAACTTAAATCAATATTTTTATGCATACATGTGTATCTACTTTCTCTTAATGGACTGTGTGTTGATCTTATTTTCTCCATTAAATTGTAAGATTCCTGAGGATACAAACCATGTCTAATCGATGCTCTGAATTACCCTTAGCACCCGGCACAGCACACTACATTCAAGCTAAATGAAATCACAGCTCAGAGAGATGCCAGAGCCCCTGGCAGCATGGGCTCCAACGGATTCTACAAGTTCCAGGTGATTCTGTTCCAAAGTGGGTTTTCTTTGAGCTCCTTCCAGCTTTCTCTGGGAACAGCTGCTGTGGAATGGTCAGGAGGAGGTGAGTTCAGCTTTAATTGGTTCCTGAGGTCTGCAGTTTCCTTCACAATCTGCTCATGATTGAGGGAATTTTAAATGGGTTCTGATATTGAATCAGTAGACAGAGAATGGAGCAAAAATCATATTGATCAAGGGACTTTCTAAAAACAGTACATTCTGCAAAAGTAAGGATTACTTCCACAAAATGTTGGTTTGTTTCCAATTCTGTAATTTATGAGATCACGTTGGATAGTGTCCCTCTTCCATCTTGTGGTAATTCCCAACCAGGACAATTTATTAAGCTAAACTCATATCATCCAGGAGGATGTTTCTATTGGCAACCAACTAGGCAAGAGAAAAAAATTATTTGGTGAAGAAAATATGTTCTATGTGGAAGCTTTGAACTCCAAAACCTCTCTAAAATCTAATAACATGAGGTGTAGGGTTCCTGAAAAATAACTGTCCCTGTTTTTCCTTAATCAAATTCATTTTATTAATTGTACATGTGTTTAGTAAATATATTATTTATTTTAGTCACTCCTGGCAAAGGATTACATTTAGGAGTCTTCTCTGTAAGCACTAATATTCATATATTTGAGGGCAAACACTCTGAAATAATTATTTTTAATCAAATTTATATTAGAATATAGTATTAGGAGTGATTCAGTAGGTACTCATCTTACTAACACTTGCCTTAGAGATGAATAAATGAATCTTAGGAAACAAATACAAATTTTTTTTTTAAGTGGAGGTTCTGTTAAAGTTCAAATTGATGGAAGACCTGAATGGTAACATTGCCAGTACTTAGCTCAGATAAGATATTCCTTGTCACTGAAGTTGTACAACAGTGGTATCTATGATACTTGACATTAAATATGACCACTGATGCATTTCCACATTTACAAGATAAGCTTGCTGGGCACTGTACAAATTTCAGGACCTAAGTCTTTTTATAATGTCTCTTAAGTGAATAACTTCCTCAGTATTACAGATAATCATTACCTTTTTATTCATCACCCTGTGCAGATGTTGCTCTGCTTATTTTCTTGGCTTAAATTCCACCATTCAGAAACACTTATTATAGACTGAGAAGCAAGTTTCTGATGCATTCTATGATACTGTGTATGAAATATAACTTCAAATTGCAACTTTAAAGCACGTATGTTGTCAAGGGCATTGGAATTCTTTTTGAAGATTTATTTCAAGCTATCTATTATTGCTATTTCACTTGCTGATTTGAGATGAAACTCATTTACAGTAAGAGGCAAATTTTGTGGACTAAATTGAGAATCAAGAAATGATAAAGAGCACAATTACTTTGAACATTTCAAAAATTATTTTTCCTCTTTAGAAGGTGTTGTGTTTTATATCTGTATGTCCCTCAAGAGCCTCCTAGGAAGGGTTTTGGAAGGTGGTTGGATCATGGAGGCTTACAGCTGACTTGCTGGTAGGAGGTGGGGTCTGTTCAGAAGAGGTGGGCTCTGTGGGTGAGACCCAGAGTTTTATCTCCCTTATGGGCTTCTTCCTTGACTTTCTACTTCCCGGGTATAGCGGACTGAGTAGCTTTTCCTCCCCCATGCTTTTCTGACATGTCTTATTGCCTTAGAGTCAGCTGATGATTATGGACTGAACCCTGTACAGAACCGAGCCAAAATAAAGCTCTCCTTTAAGTTGTGGGTGACAGGAATTGGTCACAGCAAGAAGAAAATGATTGAGACAGAAGGCCGGTGGAGTAAGACTCTCAGTCACTCTGGTTGTCTCCCTATTTCTCAAATTGGGAGGTGCCAATCAGTGCCAACTTTGTGGTTATTAATTGTGGGCTGTCTACAGGGCTCTAAATTTATAATAGCACCATATTTGATTTAATGTTCTACTATTGTTATATTAAAATTCTAAATTTTTGAGCAAGGAACTCACATTTTCCTTTTGCACTGGGCCCTGCGAATTAAGTACCTAGTCCTGTTGCCAGTTATTCACTTTCATAATCACTAAGTGAATTAGTTGAAGGACAATTAGAAGTTCAGATAGAGTTGATGGTGGGGGGAATATATAGATGCTTAGAGATAAATTAAAAGAAAGTGAAGAGAACGTAAAAACATCAGGAACAAGAACTTGTATGGCTCCATAAAGCAAAGCAAAACAAAACAGAACAAACAAAAAATGCAGGCAGATGGTACTTTGACTCTCAATGGTTTTTAAATCCCTAGTTTGAACACCTCTTTGGACAGACCTGGAGAGTCCTTCCTTGCTCTTTCTAAATAAACAAACCAACAACAACAACAAAAACAACAACAAACCACTGTTTCTTTTGTACTACTCCAAGCGGCTTCCTGATGATTGTAAGTAAATGGGCTCTGTTTCCTTATATTTTAAAAATTTCTCCAAGAATTGCCTATACTTGCCTGTCCCAAACCTATCCCCAGTTTATTCCCTACACATATTCAAAGTTATCTTTAAAGGGATAATAATTGAAATGGATTTTGCACTGTTTGCAATTACGCATTAGGGTTCCTGTTCCACTTGGGATTAAACTGAAGCTCCTTAGATTGACATAAAGAGCAGCCTTACCGGATCCTGCTCAGCACCTCTGCCTCCTCACATTATCTTTCCCATCACAGACCTGCAACACCACTGCCATTGCTCCTGTTTTTCTGTGGCACTCCTGGCTCTGGCACAGGGCTCCTGCACTGTCCCTCTGCCTCATCCTCCTCTAGACCCCCTTAAGGTTGGTTCTTTTTAGACAAGAATTTCTAAAAGTGGACTTCTTGGCTATCAATATATATTTTAGGTCTTGATAGATATTGCCAACTTCTTTTCCATAAGTCTTTAATAATTTAAAACCAAAATATGATAGCGTCTATATGAAGACACCAGGTGTTAAATATCTTAACCCTCAATGATCTGTTTTCCAAGTATTTGTATATATCATTATGTTCCAGCAGAAAGCAGAATTGCTCACCTGTGTTCACAGTCAGTAGGATTGAGGTAGGAGGCCCTGTAGGGGTTCCCTCAAAGCACCCTCTATGCCCTTCCACCATGGCTACATCATTAAATCCAATGCTTGATTCATGTTTGATTCTGTGTAGCCCTTAATGGCCCATATGCACTGTGAGGTCAGAGATATGGCTGTCTTATTCATGGCTGTTTCTGCAGCACCAGACTCAATGCCAAGTAGACATAGGGAATGTAGTCACTTTCTGCCACTACTGTTAAATAGTTCATCCCAAATTTCCACTTTCACCACTACCGAAATTTGGAGCAGACAGAATAACAAAAGTAATAAAGATGACTCATTGACTACTTCCTGTATGTCAGGTTGTCCAAGCAATTTATCTGTATGTACCATCTAACTAGTCCTCATGAAAAATCCAACAAAATGGATTCTTTTGTAATTTCCACTTAAGAAATGAGAAATTGAGGCTCAAAGAAGCTGAAGAATATTCCAAGTTCTTACAAATGGTGGAAGAGCCGAAACATGAATGTAGAGTAGAAATCTGTAAACTGTGTTCTTTAACCATTTCCAGTGCTGCCTTTGGGTGAGTCAATATGCTCATTTTGTTTAAAACTTGTTTCACTGATTGCTAAGTAGGGAGTTTTTTAGGGGCATACCTGAGGCTTACTGATTTGGGCCTATGTCTCCAAACTCTGGTTTCAAAGCATCAGCGTAGCTGCTGTCTATGGAGTGCTTCTTGCTATAGAGCATGCCTCCATCCACACCTCCCAGATGACTTCAGAGTCATGGGGAATGTTATCAAATTGATGGAAATAGTGTGGGAAAGAGAGTTCCTGAGCTATTCACAAAGCAAAGTTCAAGGACTTAATAGAAGGAGACTCAGGAAGCTGAAGGCCGCAGAAAGAAGAAAATGATCACAGACAGGGCTGTGTTAAAGCAAGCTGTCCTCTAGAGCATACTCAGCAGTCTCTTCTCCTAACCTATAGTAGTAGTGCAATAACTATATCAAATGGATGGATCAATTAATGGATTTTATATTTCCTACTTCTCACATTATTGTGGTTTCTTAGAGCTTCAATCCTTTTTTTAATTTTAAATGTATAACTTTATTATCAAACACACACATATACAAAAATTAAAAATTTTCAAAGAAATACAATGCAAGGGAAAAAAGCTATAATCACATTCAAATATAGTAGAACTCAACCAAAGCAAAACTGAAAAGTACTTAAACATTTTTCCATATAATTTAAAAAAATCTCAAGCATTAACAAGACATCAGGGGATATGATTTGTTTTAGAAAGATTTTCAAAACTAATATTGAACAAATAGTGGTCTGGAAAAAAATTCTAATTAGCTAGTAGACTCCACATAGGCCATTTTTTAAAATTTTAATTTCAATACAGTCATGTGACACGTGATGGAAATATAATCTGAGAAATATGTTATTAGGCAATTTCATCTGTGTGTATTGCAAAGTACCACACAGAGTGCCAACTTCTAAGTGCAAACTGAAAAGGTATACGTCGATCATCTGTGACGGCCCCTTGATATTATCCAAATACGCAGTTAAACCCGAGATACATGAGGCTACCACTGGCATAGCAGCACACTGATTTACAGTAAACTCTTTTATATAAGTAGGATTATGCTCTAAAGGATGAAAAGCACAGCATGTTATGATAAGTACCTAAAACAGTAGCAGTCATTTATCACACTATCGAGTACTGTGTACTGTACCTAGCTGTATGTGCTTCTTCTGGAAACACACCCTTCTCTCCTTTGATCTCAGTGACTCTTCCTTCCCAACCAACTGATGAGCTCCAGCCTAGTCTCTATCTACATCTCTTCCTATAGTTTTAAACACAAGCTATATATGGATTCTTTCCAGATTCCAGCCTGTAACTCTGATCTCTCCCCTTCCCCTCCTGCCATCCCTACCCCTTTGAGCCTTTTCTTCCTATTTCAAATTATCAATTATTCATTTTAATCATTTAATCCTTAATTACACTTTCAGTTTCTCACACTAGAGAAACTATTTGGTATTTACACGTGTGTCCTATTTACT